CTCATAGTGACCCTGCACAGGGTTTCCGAGGCTGTAAATCTTTATGGGAGCAGAACACCTCATCTTTCTCCTGCAGAACTGCTTGTAGTTTCAAACTGCTGACCTTGGGGTTGGCAGCCTGACTTGTAACCACTATGCTACCAGAGATTACAGCCTAGGAAAACCCTATGGGGCAGTTCTATTCTGTCATATGGACTCTCTGTGAGTTGGAATCAACTTGAGGGCACACAACATTACATTGAAAAGTAGAATACTATTCAGTAACTTTTATTTCTAAAGTCAGCAAAATATAAATTTTAATCTATTCAAAAGTAACCCTTGAAAATACTGTACGTGAAACATAAAGAAGAGTTGCAAATGAAGAATTTTAAGTCAAACTCTGTTAGTTTTCTCCTGCTGGGTGTGGGATGTAGGATAAGCACTGGCCTGCTAACCACAATGTTAATGGTTAAAACCTACCAGCCACTCCTCAGAAACCCTATATGAGTCAGAGTCAACTCATCAACACTTAACAGCAACAAAAACTTGAGGCACAACATGAAGTAGTTGGTTTATGATTACAGAAATCATGTATAAAATATGTATAACTTTAAGCATGAGTCTTAGTTTAGCAAGATCTGCACACTGAGGGGCTTGAGCACTGAGACTGTTTGAAGGTGCACCTCCCCTATCTCACCCTCACTCCAAAGCACACACTGACTGGTTGGAATGCCATGTAGAATTTCCTGCACAATTTAAATTCATTCTCTGCAGAGTATGTAAGTTCAAATGTGCATATTATACAGTTTCACTTCAGCTGTTCTTTGTACCAGAGATACAGAAATACGTAATTTAGGACTCTTCCATTAGGAATTTAAAGTCTGTACTCCTGGTGTGGTGCCGTAGGATAAGCACTGGACTGCTAACCACAAAGTCGGTGGTTCAAACCAGCTGCTCCTCGGAAACCCTATACAGTATACAAGGTCACTATGAGTTGGAACTGACTCAACAGCAACAAATACAGATAGTCCCCAATTTAGGATGGAGCTTTGTTCCAGTGACTTGGTCATAAGTCAGTAATAAAGTAAGTCAAATACCTCTTTTTATCTTTTTAGTTTTCATTATTGCCTTTTATTAGTATCTTTATGAATCCGACCCTTATTTGCCTTTGTTAAGTGCCGTCTAGTCGGTTGCCTTTAGGGTTGTGAATATTACATATAAACTTACAGATATATTTTAATACAGTCCTGGTGTGAAGCGGTAGGATAAGCACTGGACTGTTAGCCTCAAGGCTGGCGGTTTAAACCGACCCACTACTCCTTGGAATCCCTATATAGGGTTACTGAGTCACAACTGACTCGACAGCACTTAACAACAAAATACATACGTAAATAATAAAATTTTACTCTGACAATGAAGAAGAGATGGGCAATGTTGGTATTGTGTCAATTTAGGCTATAACTCCACTTATGGAAGATTCTTGATCATCTGGATTATCCCTGGGAATGGAATGGCATGTTATAACGCAAAATACATGTTACAGCATTGTATGTAGTACAGATTACTAAAGCTGTACCAAAAGCAAGTATGATTCATTGTAGCTTGAATACATCATAACTGGAGGACTGCTTATGCAGGCTTGAACACATTGGACGTTTATCTTCTAGAGCCGTATTTAAGAAAATATTTTCATAGCATGGGACAGAAAGAAGGTTGGCTGCATCGTGAAGTTGACAGATTGGAAAAACTGACTTATAAATGTACTTTGTAGACATTACAGATTTTAAAACATCTTAAACAGAAATCACAGTTTGGTATTTTTTCAAAAATAATGTTATGTTTTACCTAAGATTTGTCAACTTAGGTTCTGTGCCTATTGATGGTAAATTGAGTATTTACTAAGCTTATGAGAAAGATAAATTATGCTTGTGTTTATTCTTTCAATCCTTAATTTTTGTTGTTGTTGTTTCTATAAAGGTTTTTATTTGGGGGGAAGGGGAGCACAGTGGACAGGGACCTGCTCAGTCCTTGGCAGCTGCTTTCCTCAGGGCGGCCAGGATGTTGCAGAGCTCCTCTCGCTTCCTGTTGGCACAGATGTTGTGTCCCCACCCCTTTCTTGATGAACTTGAGCAGCTCCATTGCCCAGTGCTCATAAGGCACAAAGCCACACACCTCCACGATCATGTCCCGCACGAACCTGGTGTGCTTGGTGAGGTGCCCATGGCAGCCGCTGTGCCTCCACTTGCTCACGTTCTTGGTTACTTCATGGGCCTTGTTGAGGCCAATGGCCATAGAGTAGTGTACAACCATGGCTGCTTTTCTTCAATGGATGCTACAGAGAAAGCCTCAGATTAATTTTTGATTATATCCTTTAGGTATAATAAAATTCTTTGATAGAAATAACTACTGTCAGTTAAGGAAGCAAACAATTAGGTTGAGAACCAGGCCAATACCTATTTAATGTGAAGAGGAGACCTAGGTTCTAATTCTCACCTTCACACATAGTAATCCTAGAATGTTGGGCAGGATTTGTACCTCAACTTTCTCTTCTTAATAGTGCAAGGCTATACCAGATGACCTCTAAAATCCCTTCCTGTTCAAAATTCTATGGTTCGAGTCAGTAATTGGTATAATCTTATAATTTTTTTCTTGTTGAGATTATGCACAGCACAACTACACCAGCTCAACAATTTCTACATGTATCATCTATTTACACTGACTATACTATTCTGATGTGGCACTGTAGGATCAGCACTGGACTGTGAACCACAAGGTCAGCAGTTTAAACCTACCAGCTGTTCCTTGGAAACCCTATATAGGGTCACTATGAGTCAGAACCGACTCAAAGATACTTAACAGCAACAACAACATATTTTTCTAATTTTGCAACCATCCTCACCCTCCTTTTCTGAGTTGTACCTCCCCCATTAACATAACCTTACTGCCCCCTAAGGATCTTACCTGATCTGTTGAGTTGCTGTTTTGACCCCATGTGATGGTGTTGCTAAAGTGCCACTGAATCAGTTCCAACTCATAGTGACCCTGTATAGGTTTCCGAGGCTGTAAAGCTTTGTGGCAGCAGAAAGCCTCATCATTTTCCACACAGTAGCTGGTTGGATCAAACCTCCAACTGGTGGTTCTCAGTCCAGTGCTTATCCTATGGAGCCACCATACTGACCTGCTTCCATATAGATGGTTCTTAAAGAGTATAATGCATTCTTTATTACATAAACTAGTTATGTAATAAAGTTATGGTTATGGAAGACTTAAGAGAGTATCTTTGGTGTAAAGATATGTCAGGGTAATAGTTTCAGGTCAAATTAGAGAATTTTAGCACTTGCCCTATTTAAATTTTATTTTTGCCAAAATACAAAAGAATATTTATTAGTTGTGAAAACTACTTTTTATTTTATGACAAATTTTAGGGCTAATTTGTTTTTATTCAGGTCTTTCAATGAGTAAGTATGTAAGCATAGAAATAAGATGTGAATTATATTTCACTTGTCTTTTAACGTCTTTGAAACTTATTTCCTTATAGAAAATATAAATAATTGCATACTTCATGCTTGTTGAGAAAAGCAAATGCGATTTGAAATGGATTATGATAGAGTTTATAAACCATTGTTTAAATTATGACTATGTAGTTAATGGTGTTGGAGGAGAATATTGAAAGTGCCATGGGCTGCCAAAAGGACCAATAAATCCATTTTGGAAGAAGTACAGCCAGAGTGCTCCTTGGAGGCCAAGATGGCCAAGCTTCGTCTCTCATATTTCAGACATTGTCAGGAGGGACCAGTCACTGGAGAAGGATATCATGCTTGGTAAGGTGGAGGGTCAAAGAAAAAGAGGAAGACCCCCAGTGAGATAGATTGACAAAGTGGCAGCATCGATGGACTCAAGCGTGGCAACAGTAGTGAGGTTGGCCCGGGATCGGGCAGTGTTTTGTTCTGCTCTGCATAAGGTTCGCTATGAGTTGTTACTGACTCGATGGCACTTAACAACAACAACAAATGAAGTGACTAGCTTTGGAATCTTTAAAAAGTTAACAAGATAAGCAGGATGGGCTTGGGTTTGTTTTTTAAGTTAGTTTTAATTTACATTTAAATAATTTTTATTTTAGGACTAAAATGTAGCAGCTGTGAACGTTTTCCAGCTGGAGCTACAAACAACCTCTCTAGATCAAATTCAGATGAGAGTAATTTCTCTGAAAAACTTCGAGCATCCACTGTCATATACCATCCAGAAGGAGAATCCAGCACAGCCTCCTTTTTTTCTACTCATTCGTCTCTGCATTTGCCTGTTCTAGAAGTAGGCAGACCTGAAAATATCTTCTCTTCAGCATCGCTTCCTAGACCTGGGGACCCTGGGGGTCCTCCTTTGCCACCAGAGCTGCAATTAGAAGATGGAAGAACTTATGGGAACTCGAGTGAAATGTTTCTTCCTTTAAGATCACGTGCAATTTCACAACAATGACAGTTTTCCTGCCTTTTAACTTTTTAAGTAATTATAAAAGATGGTTTAAAGAATATGAATCTTTTTATAGAAGCACTGTAATGACTTAGGAACATCTGACACTTGTGTTTTAAAATAATTAATGAGAGGGGCTTCAAAAAGTTCATGGACAAATGGAATTAAAAGGTAATAGAACTTCTCCACAGCTTCTTTAACCGCCCCCCCATATTGTGTTTTAAAAATAAACGTATTATGTAAATAGAATTTTTTAGAATAAAGGAAGCACACTTTTAGGATAACTAAATGTAAATCATGTTGATGATGTACTTTTCAGTATTTTCTACTGTTTGAGTACTTCAGTTATTTTCTATGTATATAGATTTTCTGTGTTTTAAGACGAATTTTAATAGGGAACATTTCTCTACTTAAGGTTGGACTCCTAGACTGGGAATAAATGTTTCTTCTCAGTACCTTTGTGCCCTGAATTTTCAGGGTTAAACTGTTATTTGTATTGCTAATAAAGCCCATCAGTAACTGGAAAAGCTGCCAGTATACTGAAAAGAATCTTTCCCACTCTATTGGGTTTCTATAAGCTTCCACAGACCCTTTCTGATTTTGATGGAATTTGATCAAACAAAGATCTCAATTTGTCAAGACTGATTTCTTATTAAACTTACCAATTATTACAACTTTTTAAAAATTATTTTTTAACAACAATTTTAATTATTTTCAGCAACCATATATTTTACATTCTTTATCATTTTAATTTCTAAAGGAAAATATTTTGGTATAAACCATTTTAAATGATATATTTCTGTACTTTACATTTTTTAAAGAGGTCTAATGTACAGTTCAAGGAGCTCTGGTAGTGTAGTGGGTTACAGGTTGGGCTGCTGACCTCAAGGCCAGCAGTTAGAATCTACCAGCTGCTCTGCAGGAGAAAGATGAGGCTTTCTGCTCCCATAAAGATTGATAGCCTTGGAAGCTCTAGACAGGGTCATCCTGAGTCAGACTCAACTCAATAGCATATCACCACCACCACCACCACCACCACCACCACCACCACCACCACTGTATAGTTCAAACAGCTGTAACAGATTGTGTATGTCTGTGTGTTGATGACAGTGCTGCTTTGGAAAAGGCCATTATCAAAGATTTGGTTGTTTTTTATGACTAATTAAATGCATTTATAAATCTTATGTTCTGATTGTTTTGTTTTAAATGGTAACTCTAATTCTTTATATCTACTTTGTCAGTATTTCTATTATTTATAGCAAGGAGAGACAGAAATATGCCATTAACAGAAGTTTTAAAAAATACATATTCTGGGACTATCAAATTTTTCAAAATGAACTTAAATAGCTGAAACTTTTATAGAAAACGTTACTTTAGGTTGTGAGATTGAATTTTATTTCTGGATCAAAGCCTGTAATCCACTTGATAGTCAGTTCTGCCTCATAACAACCTTGATTAGGGTTTCCAAGACTGTAAATCTTTTTGGGAGCAGAAAGTCTCATCTTTCTCCCTTAAATCAGCTGGTGGGTTTGCACTTCTGGCCGTGCAGTTAATAGGCCAGTGCTTATCCTATAGTGCCTTCAAACTTCCTTGTATTTCTGCATAAACTGATAAATTTATCAGTCATGAAAATTAACATAATGGTTTTAAGAAAACTTCTAAAGACTGGTTATTTTTTGTAGGGCCAGCATCATCTACGGTTTATGGAAAACTGCTTCCCTTCCAGCTTAGCATTAGAAAATCGTAGCATTATATTTAAAGAAATCCCTTTTAAAAGCAAAAAGCAGGCTATTCATTAAAATAGCATTTGATTATGTGGCTTTTAAATTTTTGGATAGGACTTAAGAGTTGTCTTTCAGATTATTGACTGACAATATAGACAATAAAAATTAAGGTGTTAATAAGCTTAAGCTTTTGGGTTTCTGAATCCTACAGTGTCAGTTTTTTTGCCCCTTTAAAGACTGAAAACTAGAGCCATTCCCAGTAATGTACAAATTAGTATGATGTTAGTTAACGCAGTAGTGAAAAAGTTTCTTTTCACCAAGACTATTATCATTTAACACAAAAGCAACTCTTGGATCTCACTTTTTCCAAAGGCAATTCATCTTTGGTCAGCATGTCATTTAATTAAGTTCAGTTTACCAATCTTATGGCCAGTGATTCTTGTCTCCTGTTTTAGAGATCTTTGCCTATCAGTTTCGTGATGATATTTTATATATTCTTCTGGAAGCTTAATCATTCTAGTTTTATAGTTTGTTCTGTGATCCATTTCAAAGTCATTTTTGTGAGGTACAGATCAGTCTTAAGAGTCACTGCCTTTTTACCTATCAGGGCAAAGGGAAGCAGGAGATTTCAGGCTTTGATCCTATTTTTTATCACTAGATGAACAAGTACACTATTGGCTTTGAAAAAAAGCAAACTAAGAAGCAAATTAGTTGTCAAATATATAATCTTAAGAGGACTCCCTGAAAGGAGAACTGCATTTAAACATACTATAAGAATGACTAGTGGCTGCCCCTAAAATTCTCACCTGAATTTACCATACTATTTATCTTCATCAGAGACAAGCGTCTTTTACTATAGTTGCCCAATTTTTGCTTTCAATTAGAATCACGCAGGGAGTTTTCAAAGCTGCCCCATCTATAATCCTTACCGATTTACTCACAGTGTTCTGTGGAAATCAGGCATCAGGATATTGCATAGATTCCGCAATTTCAAGGTGCAGCAAAATTTAGGAACCACTGCCTTACTGCATACCATATGCTGTTTCCACTTATGTGATCTCAGTTTTAATCATAATAACCTAGCAAAGTAGGTTTTACTGTCACCTTTTTTTTGCAGATGGGAGAGAAACTCAGTCAAGTGATTAAAAGTCATGCGGCTCTTTAGGATTAAATTCAGGACTGACTGCAAGGTCAATGTTCTTTATACCTCTCTTTGCTTCCTTATTAATATTAATAATGACCATGTATGGGGTTTCCTGGTGAGGTGTGTGTTATGGGCTAATGCGCTAAACTGTAAGGTCAAGCTCACCAGCCGCTCCTTAGAAACCCTATATGGGTTGCTATGGGTTGGTACCGACTCAACTGTACTTAGCAACACAACATAGGGTTTCCAGGAGTCCTGGCATGGCACTGTAGGATAAGCACTGAATTCCTAACCTCAGTGTTAGCAGTTCAAACCCACCAGCTGCTCCTCAGAAATGCTATTGTTAAGTGCCATCAAGTCAGTTCCGACTAATAGCAACCCACCCTATACAGGGTCAATATGAGTCGGAACCTACTCAATGGTACTTAACAACAGTAGGGTTTCCAAGAAGAGGAAGACTCCCAGCGAGATGGATTAGCCAAGTGGCATCATCAATGAGCTCAAACGTGGCAACAAGTGAAAGGTTGGCCCAGGACTAGGCAGTGTTTCCTTCTGTTGTATACAGTGTCACTCTGAGTAGGGACCAACTTTGATGGCACCTAACAACAATAACAACAACAACAAAGATGTCTGGTGTGGTGCTTTACAATAAGCACTAGAGTGTGAACCACAAGGCTGGAGATTCAAACCCACCAGCTGCTCCTTGGAAATTCTGTACAGGGTCTCTATAAGTTGGAATCGACATGCTGGCACTTAATAAGTTAACAACAACAACAAAAGCAGACTAAGGTAAGTATATCACTGAGAGAACTTGTCTGCAGCCATTTACTAATTGCAGAGACATGGTTAAGCACATTCTGTTCGGAATAAAATCGCATGTATGACCTGCAACCTTTTTGACCTACCCTCATAAGATACAGCCTATCCTAGTACTGTTTAATTAATATATATATAAAATACATTCCCAAATGAGATTATAACCACAGATAGTGCATTTAGAACTTATACTTATGGGGGTGTGGAGAGCACACAATTCAACCACAACAAGTGGGGATTGGCCAAATAAAATACATTTAGGATAACAAGCCAACGTTCTTAATGTTGGAGAACAGAGTTACAGATATGAAACTAGAGAAAACTAGATTGAACCTATAGTATTGGATTACAAGTGAAAGTTTCAATATGAGCTCAAGATTTTCAATATATATGAATATATAAATAAGTACATTCCTAGCTCTGTCCACTGACAGAACCTGGGGACATGCATACTGTTAGCAAAGAACAAACCTAGTACCCAGATCTTGGCTTCTAAATACAATTCTACATTAAAAGGGACCAACTTCTTGGAGAAATGGATAATTACCGGACTGGAGCAGCGAAGTATGAGTCTGGAACATCCTGTATCAGAAAGCAAGTAAGTGCTTAAAGAAAGAATGGTGTGAGCATGTCCAAAGGACACAGAAACCTACTGAGAGGTGGTCCCATTGGCCAAACCTGCGATGATTTCAACATCAAAATAAATAATGATAATAATGTATTTTAACTCACTAGATAAAGTAGAAAGGAACTCTGGTAGTGTAGTGGTTACAAGTCGGGCTGCTAACCTCAAGGTCAGCAGTTCAAAACTACCAGTGGTTCCGTGGGAGAAAGATGAGGCTTTCGGTGCCCGTAAAAAATTTACAGCCTCGGAAACCCTGTTCAGGATTACTATGAGTCGGAACCAACTCCACGGCACACCACCAGTACCATCAGATAAAGTAGAAAATCATGAGTCTATGCTGATACAAATAAAAACTTATGAATAGCAATGGAAATTTGCCTGATCTAGTGCCAGGAGATGAGCCCGTCAAGTTGGAAGGCACTCCAAATATGGCTAGGACAGAGCTGCCTCCTCAAAGCAGAGTTGACAAAACCTTCATGACTGTCCTAGTTTACTAGTGCTACTATAACAAATACTACAATTGGATGGCTTTTAACAGAAAAATTTTCTCTCACAGTTTAGAAAGCCAGAAGTCTGAATTCAGAGTGCCCTCTCTTGAGAAGGGTTCTTGTCTCCTTTCAGCATCTGTAGTCCCAAAATTCCTTAGAGATCTCCATGTGTCTTGGCATCAATCTTTCCCTGGATCTAGGAGATTCAT